TGTCTCCAGTCCAGTCAGGGGGGTGTCAGTGTGTGAATTCAGGGGCAGTGTGAGAGGAGAGGGACAGCAGTGTCTCCAGAGTGATTTTGACCTTGACTGGACCGTCGTTGCTCTCGGGAACGGGCTCCGACTTGAGGTAGCGCTTCAGCCTCCCGGCAAAGTAATCCTCCAGGAACCTCTCCAGAGCCTTCCCGTCGCGCCTGGGGGAACACCGCCTCACACGCTGACCAGGGCAGGACACAGCAGACAGCAGCCCAGGACACGCGGAGGGCCTGGAGACTGACCACAGCAGGGCTCCGACAGAGCGACCAGCGGTGTCGCAAGGAAGGAGCAGGCTTCAACTCCTCCTGTCGCAGTGCGCGGCTGACGCAACACAGAACCGGGCCCTCTGGTTCTGGGACAGAACCAGGCCCCCCTCTATGACGGCGTAGGGGACACACACATCCAGAAACGGCGCGCTCTCCCACACTCACGTGAACTCCTCTCGCATGACGTATTTCTGCCCCAGCACGGTGCGCACGGCCGCCACCGGCAGCTCCCCCTCCGCGCCCTCCAGGCCGAACTCCTCCAGCTCGTCGGGAAAGTCCCGGCGGTCCGCCACGGCGAAGCTCAGGCCGCGCCCCGCGAAGCGAGACGCCACCATCATCACCCTGCAAGGGGGAGAGAGGGGGCAGGCACAGGTATGACAGCAGAGACGTCAAGAAAACTGCACCCCGTCTTCATCGCCATGCTCCGAAATCACTGGCCTTAACTGGTCTAGTTCAGGGACAGCCTGCAACTACTCAATTTGAGACATCGGTAACAAAGGAGTTTGTTTTGATCTCCAGAATTTCATCCTGCTGCTTCTCGAAGGTTCCCAGGGAAATCGGCTTCAACCACATGGCTGGGCAGCTTGTTCCACTCTTCCACCACCCTTTGTGTAAAGAAGTGCCTCCTGTCATGATTAGAGAATCTTACCCTGCTGTTTCTTGAAGTTAACCAGGGTATAGGCTTCAACAACATGGCTGGGCATCTTGTTGCACACCCCCACCTCCCTCTTTGTAAGGAAGCGTCTCTTGTTCCCAGTCCTTAATGCAGTTCTCCTTTGCTCCCTCTTGTCTCCCTGGGTCACTGTGAACTCTGAACTGTTCCCCTGAGTTGACTTTTGTGCCCTCATCATCCTCTCTTCAAAACTAAAGGCGTCAAGCTCCTTTGTCTCAGGGGTGATAAAGTTCAGCAGCTGAACTCCAGGCTGCTTCAAATCATGAGTCTAGCTGATCCTTAACTCATCCACATAATCTGCAGCACCAGGGTTAGTTATATTGATCACATAAATAGAAATATCAGTATATGTTAGAACCCTTGTTGCATAGCTGGGTGTTTTGATTCGGGTGAAAGATCTTCCCTCAAGGATACCACAGTAGTGTCTCACCTCGGATTCGAACCCACAACCTTCCAGTGACGAAACCAGAACGCTAGCCAATTAACCCTTACTTAATTAAGCAAGAAGGAGTCAGGTCGTTCAGTAATTAACTCACTAGATGGGTCATTGTCCAGTAATGGCCTGGAATCGAGCCCTGCTCTCGCCGGCCTGTGTAGGACACTGCTCTTAGGCCAGGAGTTAACCTGGTCCTTTCTGTAACAGGGTGGCCTGGAGTGTCAACAGGGTGCTAACTGTGGCCTTACGAATGCTGTGAGTAGTCTTCTCACAGCCCTGGGGCAGCTGGAACTTGCCGGCCCCCTCGGCTGCCACTAGGGACCCCGATTCCCCCCCGCACTGTGCAAGCCCCCCCCTGCAGTTCACCTGTTCCGCCAGTAGTTGGAGCCCTTGGGGTTGCGCAGGTAGTCCAGCTCATAGAAAGCGGTCAGCAGGTCCTGCCTCATCAGCTGCTCCCTGTTCTCGTGGGTCAGGTGAGGGCACATTCCGAATCTGCCCAACGACACGAGGTGGGGGGGGCAGGAACAGGTCAGGAATGAGCCACACCGCTGTCCGCCTGAATTAGAACTCGTGCTAGTTCATCAGATCAGCCCGGTTCAGCGCAGTGCTTTAACACAGTCTGCGCCCCCAGACAGTTTTGCTGACCCTGACAGTTTCTGTTTACACCAGAGAGAGGAGAGAGCGGAGGGAGAGCGAAGGGAGAGAGGAGAGAGGAGAAAGGGGGGAGAGGAGAGAGCAGAGGAAGAGTGAAGGGAGAGGAGAGAGTGGAGGGAGAGTGAAGGGAGAGAGGAGAGAGGAGAAAGGGGGGAGAGGAGAGAGCAGAGGGAGAGTGACGGGAGAGAGGAGAGAGGAGAAAGGGGGGAGAGTGAAGGGAGAGGAGAGAGCAGAGGAACAGTGAAGGGAGAGAGAAAGGAGAGAGGAGAAAGGGGGGAGAGGAGAGAGCAGAGGGAGAGAGGAGAGAGGAGAAAGGGGAGCGAGGAAAGAGCAGAGGGAGAGTAGATAGATAATACTTTATTAATCCCGTAGGGAAATTAATAAAGTAATTTATTAATTACTTTAATAAATTGAGTGAAGGGAGAGGAGTGATAGTAGTAGAGTGATAATAGAGTGAAGGGAGAGGAGAGAGCAGAGGGAGAGCGAAGGGAGAGAGGAGAAAGGGGGGAGAGTGAAGAGAGAGAGGAGAGAGGAGAAAGGGGGGAGAG